TGTTGATGTGGTATATGTTGATGTGGTTGATGTTGTGGTTCTTGATGTTGTTGTTGATGATGTTGTTGTTGATGTTGCTGTTGTTGAGTTTTCCACCNGTTGAAAAACAAAGCAACAGATGGCAACCCATTTGTGCAACAAAACAACAACGAGAACGATAGAAGGACAGACCCAGGTCAATAATATTGTGATGGGGGATGTTGCCTGCATACTAAATTATTGTTGTTGTTGTGGTTATTTTTGTTGCTATTGTTGTTGTTGTTAATATATTTTTAAAACAACAATTTTCAACAGCAATTTATAGAACAGCAAATAATACGAGAGACGGTGTGATCAAAACAACATCAACAACAATAACGCCAGAGTAGTGAAGATAGTGTTATAATAATATACAATAACAACAACAACAACAACATGATGACAGCAACAATAACAACTTGTTATAAAATCCACATTGTCGCCATTCAGGGTCAGCAGCAACAGAAGCAGCCACAGCAACAACAGCAGACGCAACTGTCGCCAAAGTAGGAACGCCCAAACCAATCAGAGAGAGCCTTTTTAATTGGCGCGAAGAGGATAATATAGATGATGATAATGATGTTACAGATGATGATGTCGGTGTTGATAATGATGATGCTGTTGTTGTTGTTGATGATGATGATGATGTATGTTGTGATGATATCTGGTTCTTTGAATTTGATTGGCTGGTGGGTTTTGTTGGCGATGATGTAAAACAATGATGATAAGAAGTGCAGTGATGATGATGATAATGAAGATGATGATGATGAAGATGATGATGATTATTTCCATGACAAAGATGAAGATAAGGATAATAACAGTTGCTATATACTGTTGGATGATGATGGTATTGATGAAAGTAGTGATGATGATTAGGATTATTATAATAGTTACGAAGATCCATTGGAATTTGATCGTGTTGATAAGAGCATTGGATGTTACAGCAACAGGTTTGTTGATTACAATGATGATGGCGATAAGGAGGACTATGATGACGATGTCTTTGATGTTGGTGATGGTGATGAAGACGACGATGATGATGTACATCTTCGTGTTGGTCAGTACCTTTCATCCTAAGCAGTTTGTTTGTCCATCTGTGTTAAAAGGAATTAATTTATATTGATCGTATAGATTTAAGAACATTTCAGTAACCGTGATAAAGGCAGGCTTCATTATTGTGAATGGTTTCAGCTGCACCTAGTTTAAAACTTTAAATGTCTACACTACACCAACGTACTCAACCGCATACAAACAACAATCAAATAACAACACACCATCAAAAAATAAACAAACAAACGAACGGAAGAACAAAATAAACAAACACACAGACAGACAGACATACGGACAGAAACGTGTTTACATACTTCATTGCCAGAGTTGCCCATGTTAAAATGCTCAAACTCAAGAAATGCAAGATACCTTGTAGCAATCTGATTACAAATTCCTGATTATGATAATGATGATTATGATGATGATGATAATGATGATGATTATGATGATGTAAGTTAAGATGAGGATGATCGGACTGGTGACCAATATGAGTGGAAAGTTGGGGAAGAGCTAGGTGTTGATGATAATGATGCAGCAATTGATGATGATGATGACGTTGATTAGTGAAGGAGTGAAAATCGTTGATGGTACGATGGTGGTTTGAATTCTGGTTACTCAGGGTTTCATCTGACTCCAGGCGATTGTATAATAGCGAGAAAATGACGGCGCTTAAAGTAGAAGCCACGAATAACGAGATGACACATATTTTCAGTAATGTCAGGATGTTGTTGTATTTGTTTATGTTGTTGTTGTTGTTGTCGATGTTACTTTTCATGTCATTGTGGTTACATGCTGCAGTGCCCTTCTGGTTGCATCTCTTGATGTCATGGCTGGCTTTGCCGAGAAATTTAAGAAAAATGCTTCTGGTGCAGCTAATGTGCCTGATTTTATGGAAGGAAACGTCGG